TCTCAAACTTGAGCAACATAAGAGATGGGATTATAACAGCCTTGGAATTATTCAGGGTTGGTCGTCCCAGAATCATGTTGTAGGCCGAGAGTTCTTCTACTACCAGGAACCGGACTACCATGTGTCGTCTTTCCCCTTTTTCGCCCAGGCGGATGGGTAAATCCACTCGTCCCAGTGGGTGGACGACTCCTCCTCCAAACCCTACTAAAGGGTGGGAGGCCGGATGTATGCAATCAGTCTGATATTTTAGTTTCGACAGACATTTGCTACTGATGAGATCTGAGGAGCTTCCGGTATCTATGAGGATTCGGCTAACTCTCTGGTTGGCCACTTTACATTCAATGACGATAGGGTCGTCATGCGGCCCTCTTACCCCTCCTAGATCTTCTTCAGTGATGACAATCTCAGGAAATGAATATTTGGACGGCCGTTCTTGGTGAACGGAATTTACATCTAACCGCCTGATATTGTCTTTGTTGCCTCTAATAGTGGGGCCGCCTCCTGAGAAGCCGCCTGCAATGGTGTAGACGACTGCATCATCTGTATCGGAGCTGTCGGCCTGTTGATTCTTTTTGGCCGACTGCTTTTTTGAGGAAGTGTTCCCCGTAGATTTCTTGACATAAGTGTCAAGATCACCTTGCTTAGCCAGGCGGTCCAGATACCGCATGAGACTGATGCAGTCATTGGTGTGATGACCAACATCATCATGATAAGCACAGAATTTATCTTGGTTCCGGTTGTTTGCAGAACCCTTCATGGGGACCGGCTTCTCAATTGAGATCCGTCCCTTGATTTCTTTTAGGATAAACTGGTTATCCTTGTTAAACGCATACTTTGGGGAGTATGGTTTGAATTCTTTTTTCTTTTTCTGGGCCGGCTGTTTAGAGGAATCAGCCGCCCAGACCTCTTTTCTCTTCTCATCTTTGTTTGACGACTGTTTCTGTCGTCCTTCTCTTTTGTCGAACCTTTTCCCGTCCGACTGTTTTATCGTACAAAGATCAGTCGCCTGTATATAGGCTTCCGCTTCAATCAAGGCCTCTTGAAGAGTCGCCACCCTCTTTCGAACCAAGTCAAATTTGAAGGTCGACCCATCCTTGAGACCTCTGAAAAAGTCAGTATAGGCTACCTCATCCGGTAACCCTTGAATCTGTATTCTCATCAGGTTAAACCCCCTGATGTAAGAACGAAGACCCTCCTTCTCACCCTGTTGAATTGTTCCTAAATCAAGGGTCGTCTTCTTCGCAGGGATGTTCATGGCGAAGTTGGAGGTGAATAAGTAAGCAAGCGTCCTGAAGCTATTTACACAACCAGTCGGCAGGTTGCCAAACCATTGTTGTGCGATTCCTTTGAGAGTCGCTGGGAAACACTTGCACCAGGTGGGATCATCCAACCCTTGAAGGTACATCAGGTTGGTGAAGGCCATAAGATGGTCTTCTGGGTTAGTAGTGCCGTCATAGGCGCCTACTAATACATTTTTCACTTTGGCCGGCTGAGCGGCTTCAGTAATTTCCTTGGAGAAGGCTGACGGCTGTTCACCAAGTCTAAGCAACCGTAGCTGCCAGTCCATAGGTTGGACGTTTTTTGCTGCAGGTCCACCAAACGGAGGTGGCTGCAAAAAATATTGTTGTTGCGGCACAAATGGTAAGTTTGGTACCGCCTAGTCGCTATGAAAGCCGGACTGACGGGAGGTGCCGCCTGACTGACTCTCATGATACGACTGAGTATGCCTTATCGAGGCATTTCGCAGACTGTCTTGAAAGTTTGAAGTAGAGGCCGACTCTGACAATCGGTCACTTTTCTTCTGCTCTAGCAGTAGCCGAGCGTCTGTGAATGTTTGCTTCGACCCGTCCGCCTGAATATGACGAACAGGTTTCCTATTTCCTGTAGGAAAACGGAATTTTGTGAAATCAAGGGCAGGTGGCTCCCGCTTCCTAGATTTAGGATGAGGAGTCGCCTCTCGCCCTTGAAATGGCTTCCTCTTCAGTGAAGTGGAGGGTTTCTTAGCCGACTGCTCCTTGACCAGAGCAGGCGGCTTCTTGTTGATCAACTCTTGAATCTCTCCCTTGAAGTCCCTCATGAAGGTTATGAGTTCGTTCCTTGTGATGGGAGCAGATCCATCAGTCGGCTGCTGCCGAACAGGCGGTGCGCCTGCTGGCTCATTTCCAGTTTGAAGATGTTCCCGTTCCCTCCTTTCAGTATGACGAGTACGTCGGGCCCTTAAGGTCCCGTCTGAAGCTGTGTGAGCTTCAACTTCAAATTCACTCTCAGTATCATGGTCCGACTGAACTTGAGGGTCGTCTAGGGGACGCCTCTCTTCAGGAGTCGGTACAGACTTGGATGCCATCTCAGAAGTACTCTCCCCACAGACGGCGCCAAATGTTTCGGGGTTTTCTGATGTTCTGCGGTAGAGTTACAATTCCGAGACTGGAACCGGACGCCTGTACCTGCAAAATAACGGAGACTCCTGGTGGTGGGAGCTCCGCCTCCAACGGTCAAGTTAGTACCTGATTAAGGAGTAATTAATGCGGAAATTAAAGTGATTGGGTCTCTCTAGGTGAGAGTGTTTAATGTAGGTAATCTGCTTTGTTAGCGAGATCAGCCGGTTATTACTGTGTGTAATTAATGTGTTTTTTCGTAATCCCCCTTAATGAGGATTAAGGGAGGTATTTATAACCTTGGGAAACGTGCCAATCCTAGGTTTAGGTTAACCTAGGGCTGATTGGGCTTCCCTCGGTAGTTGGGCCTGGGTGGCCGGTTTCTCCATTAGGCATGGAGTATGCCACGTGTCATGACATAACAGGTCCAAGGTGGACGAATAGGCGTGTGCCACGTGGCAAGCCCTGACAGTTCCAACTGGGGGACACTTGGCAGGACCTGATTGGCCCACGTGGCGCATTCCGATTGGTAGGAGCAAAATCCCCTAATCAATTATAATCTTCATATACAATGTATAGTAATGCAACTGAACATAAATTAAAAAAGAAATTATATTTATTTATATTTCTCGTTACATGGTCGATCTCCTTTTCTTCTTCTTCTTCTTCTTCTTCTTCTTCTTCTTATTATTATTATTATTATTATTATTATTATTATTATTATTATTATTATTATTATTATTATTATTATTATTATTATTATTATTGTATTATTATTATTATTATTATTTCTCTTCTTTTACCTCCCTTTTTTTTTAAAAAAAAACTATCCACTATCTCTTTTCTTTAATTTATAGGCAAATTTGTCAGAAAAAAACCCTTTTAAATGCACCATTTTTTGCGGAAAAAACCTTTTAAAAGCTTTATCGTTAAAAAAAACCCAAAGTTAAAAATTTGTTGTTCAAAGAAACCTAGTATCACTAATTAACTCAATTAACCTCTAATCTCTTCTAATTACACTCTAACAATCACTTAACTATTTAATAATTAAATTAATTTATAAATTAAAAAAAATTAACAACCACTACCACTCTAACCACCAACCTAGCCGCCTTCCTTTCTCTCCCCTTCCCCTGGCAACCACTCCCACCACCGGTGACCCAACTCCACCGCCGTCGACCCCTTTCCCTTTCCCTTTCCCTCTTACCACCTTAGCCACGAAAACCACCTCTAAATGGTCTGACCCCTACCTACGATTGACCCCCTCTAAAACTCTAACCCTAAAAACCTTCCTACCTACCACCTCAGCCGTGAAAACCACCCCAGCCACACCCACTCGATCGACAGAAATTCCCAAAATTCCGATCCACCACCAACAAACATCTACCTAGATTGGAATTTCCAAACGGATTGTGTTTCCTTCCTCCTTCTTCTACTTCACTTTTTTCCTCCTTTTTCAACCACCATCAACATCCAACCATTTACAATCATTTAATTTTGAAAAAGATAAAATGAGTGAGGAAACTAAGCTCGTAACGACGCTTGAAAACATGGCGTCGAAGATCGGAAATAGCCTTTTGACAGGGTTGATTTGCTTTATTTGTGGAATTTGTTTTTTTTTTTTTTTTTTTTTTTTTTTTTTTTTTTTTTTGCTTTAAGTTTTGATAATCTTAAGGTGGGTTGTCGGGTTTAGGGTTTTGAAAGGGGGTTGGCCGAAGGTGGAGGGTTTAAGGTGGCGGTTGAGTTGGGGGATAGGACTGATGCCAGAGGAGGGGAAAGGGAGGAAGGTGGCTGGTGGTTAGAGTGGTGGCGGTGTTTTTTTTTTTGTTTTTTTTATTATTATTATTTTTTCATTTTTTTTAATTTATATACTTCCTCCGTTTCGATTTAATTGACACATTTGATTTAGACACATATATTAAGGAGAGGAGAGAGAGTGAGAGAGAATGAAAAAGTAAGTGGGGTAGCTTGTAAATACAAGGTAAAAAATTTACCCTAAAAGGAAACATGTCTAGTAGAAAAAAAGCTTCCTAAAGAAGAATACGTGTCAACTAAAAAGCAACGGAGGTAGTATTAAATAGTTAAGTGAGAGTTAGAGAGTAATTAGAAGAGATCAGAGGTTAATTAAGTTAATTAGTGATACTAGGTTTCTTTTAACAATTTTTTTAAGTTCGTGTTTTTTTAACGAACAAAGCTTTTACAGGTGTTTTTTTTCTTTTCTTTTCAAATTTGCCTTATTTTAATCCCCTTTAACTACACTTTTAAAACTTGAAGTTTTTTTATATACACCTGGGTGTAGGGCATATCAAGGATTTTGTTCATGTAAGAAAAACAATTAAGAGTTTTGTCAAAACGATGCATTTAGGGACGGATAATTACTTTACTAATGGCCTGTTCTCTTCAGCTTATTTTCAGTTCAGTTCAGCTCCAATAAGTTCAGTTCAGTTTTTAATTTCCTTCTCTCATAAAATATTCAGTTTAGTTCAGCTCCAAGCCTCCAATATGTTCAATTCAGCTCGAAAATCAGAACAGACCCTACCACAAGCTAAAAATTAAAAAGTAAATGGGCCAAGTTGATTTTTGGACACATAAACTCCTACTGTAAGTTTGTAACGGGCCTCCAATAACATTTACACTTCATCAAATTCTTGTGTTAAAATAAAACAATGGTTTTAAAACCATTCGTAGGGTTTAAGAACTAGGTTTTCCCCTTTATTAGTGGTCGAACAAAACATTCCTTAATCCTCTTGTTCTTCAATTTCTTCCCTATTTTTATCAAATTTGAAGTATTTTTCATCGAATTCTGTGTAATTATGGAAGCATTGCATGTTGCGAAGGCTAATTTGACTGTTTATCTTCATCCTTCTCAAACTAAAGACGTCAATGAAGCCGTTACTCGCGAGCTTAGCTCTCTTCTATTCAAGTAATTCAACTTTCTATCTATTTAATTTTTATTTTAATTGCTGATTTGGGTATTAATTATATGTTTAATTTCTTTGTTAGGGTTGATATTTTGATATGAACAAAGAAGATTTAATTTAACGTGTTTATCAAAAGTTTTGCTTTTCTGGGTTTTATTTATGTTGCTTTAACAACCATATAGTAGGTATTTAGTGTTTCATATCGAAATACTGATTCGTTGACCTTGGTTCAATTTTTATTTTTATTTTGTTACTAATTGGTTCGATTGATTATCGTTTTGATCTTAATTTTATATGGGTTATCTTCAAAATTGATGATTTTTATTTTTTTTTTTATTTTTTTAACCTCTTTGATTCATTTCTATCAGGGGATTTTTAATTTTTGTTAATTTACTTAATCTAAATTGAATTGGATTGTTACTAATAATGTTGCTGAAATTTCAGGGAATTATTTGTTAATAGTGTTAATTTAGGAAGTTACCCATGACTTAGCAGTTTTTCATTGTTTTGATGGAGCTATTTTAGTATTTTGTCTCGCTCGCTCAATCCACATTATGGCTCTCCGGGCCAATCCGGTTTAATTTATTAGGATAATCCCATAACCAGATCAGTTGACAACTCTAGCTTTGTTTGTACAATGTTTAATCGTTCTTACTTCATGATATATTTGAGATGGGGGAGAGGGGAGTGGTTCGAGAGCATTTGTATTGACCAGTAAACAAATTAGAGTTATTTTTGTGTGTAGCAATGTCTCTTGGTAAACATGCCTGACTATTTTAAGAATGCTGACAACCTTATGAATATTGTGGCATCAAAAACCATATAGTATGAAGATACAATGCAATACAAATTACGCTACTTCTAGATCCAAAAACTGTTGCCACTCACCTTTTTAATATTTGGGTATAAGATTTGTTTGGGATAATGAAAGCAAGACGCAAAATTGGGACTGCAACACCACGTGTTTATCACAAGAAAATAAATAACATCTCAAAGCCTATTTTTGTACGAAGTGAATACTGGCCTGGTTGAAGTCCAGTAGTAAGTGTATGAACTTGTTTAGGTTGGGCGATCTTTTTTTTTTTTTTGCGTAATCATACTGCTTTACCACTCCTATCACCTTAGCTATAAAACTAGTATCGTTTGTTTGCTGTACAAGTTGATGAATAATGTCAGAACTCAGGAGGATTTAATAAATTAAGATGCTGTATAGGGCTATAGGCAAATACTTCAATACTTTGTCAAGCCACAGAAACAAGCAGAGTTTAGAGTCCAACGTCTAGTCCAAACTAGTCTTGCTAAATGTTAACAGCTTGATCTCCATCAACAAGTAAACATCTTTCAATTCAAAATCCGACAATTAGAGCAGGAGAAGATAATTCATTAGGCTACAAGTTTATCACATCGATGACATTTTGCTGCTACACCTTTTTCTCTTGTGGATTTAAATAATAATAAAAAAACTCCTTTTATCGTGTTTTGATTGTGTCGTGTGAGTCGGGTTCATTTTTGTGAACGTTGTTCAGGATGGAAGATCGTGTTATGGAAACTATTTAGTAAGTATATCATTGAAACCATGCCCTTTTTTTGCTATATTCGTTGAGGATAAAAAATGAACTCGTTTAGTCAGCGTTTTGATTATTTGGGTGAGTTGGGTTCAGTTTTGAAATCATTGTTTAAGATGGAAGTGATTGTATTGCGGAAACTATTTAGTATATGATTAAAGTATTTATGTGTGTAAATTGATAGGTTTTTAGCTATCTGATGTACATTCTGTATATTTTTAGTTGGGTGGTGTAATAGATGATTTGCACATATGAGCCTGATTGTTTGGAGCCATGCTCGTGCACTATGCTCATGATCTCATATTCTTTACATGCTGTTGTTGTCAGGTTCAGCGAAATTTATGATGGTGTATTGTTGGCACATGAGATTGCTGATGTTCCAAGTAGACATGGAAAAATTCTATCTGGGCTCTTTCCTTATGTCGGTGTTCGACTGACGGCTAATCTTCTACTTTTTGCTCCAAAGCCAGATACATATCTAGGTATGCCGTTGCCTTCAACTTCATCTATTCAAATATTGGTGTGCTAATATAGATGTTTCTGGAGTTCTGGAGTCATACATCCTTTGCAGCAGTATACAGAGTAGTGTATAAATCCTGTATTCAAAATCCTAATAAAGATCTATAAATTATGTTCCCATTTAGTTGGTATTTTCTTTGGAGATGAAAAACACTTATTTAAAAAGAAATGATGATCTTGATTTAATCTTTTTGATAGTACTTAGAACATGATTTTATATCTTTATTATTTCAGTCAATTGACATAGCATACTTTGTTTGTTTTTGTATCTTCCAGAAGGTAAAGTTGTGAAGGTTGGGCAGGAGTCCATACATGTTGTTGTTCTCGGATTTTCAGCTGCCATTATAACAGTAGATGACATTCGTGATGAATTTAGATATAAGATTGTATGTAACAATTTGCTGTTGTATATTCTTTTAATTTTCTTCTGAATTTACAGAAATTACATTAATTTTGTTTTGCTGTAGAAAAGTGGGGAAGAAATGTTCCGAAGCACATCACACAAGCGGCATGTAATTAAAGTTGGAACCATGATACGCTTTTTAGTCAAAAGGTGAGAAACATTAATCTTTCAATCACTCAAAGGATCAACTTATAATAAAATGCCCACTTGATTTTTAATCTATACTTTAACACTGTGATAAAAGTATTAGTTTTTGTGTCTTGGTAGATGAATATTTTATATGGTAAGTGATGCAGATATGTGATGGAAAAGTAGTTAACTGATAAGCTGCCTAAATTACTCTTGTTGTCAAGCTAATTATCATACACCGTCAACTCCCCAAGAAAAAAGGAATGAATGAAGAAGCCACTATAACTATCCCACAGCTGAGTACAATTGAGCTTACTTATCTAATGTTTTTAGATGGCTTAACGTTGGATAAACATTTCAATAATATTATGAATGAAATTGTCTATGAACTTCTATCTTTTACCTCTATCGTGTCAAACTTAATCTTTTCCTAACCAAAAACTTAATCTCATACTAATTTATATGATTTTCATAATGTCTAGGACGTTGCATGAAGATGAATTTTGACATGTATGATGGTACTATAAGAGGGTTCATGAGTCATGGCTATCTAAATATATATTGACACACGCAATTTTTAAATCCATCTCATGGTTAGTTTGCATGGTGTCAGCACACCCATATCACACTGTTGAAATCTAATTATGCATTTTAATTTGCCTGCTTGTGAGCACTGATTTTTATAGATACCCTGAATATTTGTATGGATGTTCTAGATCTTGCTGACTCAGGATGAGCAATAAAATGCTTGTGTTGTGAAAGTTGTTTGTTAATCAAGTTTTTGAGTGGATTATTTTTGGTTCTCTCTGATTTTCTATGGTGATTTTCTATGGTGATTTTCTCTCTGATTGTTGTTGTTGTTGTTGTTGTTGTTGTTGTTGTTGTTGTTGTTTTTTGGCTCAAAATTACCCTGAAACCTTTTACTCTGGGGTGGGCAATATTTGTTCGCATTATATTTATAGTGCATATTTAAAATTGTAGCTTGTCTTGTTGTTGTTGTTGTTGTTGTTGTTGTTGTTGTTGTTGTTGTTGTTGTTGTTGTTGTGTGTTGTTGTTGTTGTTGTTGTTGTTGACATTGTATCTATGTTTACACAGCTTTGATGAGGAAATACTGCACATATCTGGGTCCTTAATTCCATCGAGCACTGGAAACATTAAGTGGCAATCATCCTTAGCTAACAGGTATTTTGGCTCAAAATTACCCTGAAACCTTTTACTCTGGGGTGGGCAATATTTGTTCGCATTATATTTCTAGTACATATTTAAAATTGTAGCTTGTCTTACAGTTCCCGGAAGCGGATAGAAGTATTAAAGGATTTTAGTACTGGAACAATTGATGGAGGTGCTATATCTAATGATTATCATGTCTTGAAGAAATCAAAGAAACAAAGAGTATAACAAGGATCCTAAAGGATGCGATAGGATTAAAGACTCCCAATGATTTCATGATTGTAATGGTAAGTTTCTTTTCTATTGCGATTGGCAGTATGCAATTTTTGCTTTTACTTTCCGTCTTATATTTTTGTGCTTTATTTGTGGTTTTGTTGCACAATCATATGCTATTAAAGTCCTTTGCATATTTTACGTCTTGGGTATATTTGGGTAGGGATATTCAAGAAAGGGATTGTGAACGGTCACAAGTTACTCCCTGAGTCCTTTTGTTCATGATTGTCCTCTTTTTTTAATTTTTTCTTCCCAATCTCACGCCCCTTTGCTCAAGGGGTTCATCCCAAATCATGGTTTATTGATTAATCCCTTAAGTATTTTGATTTTCCTAGTCTTGGTCTTATGCATGGGGAACTATCCAAAGTTACTCCCACCAATTTCCAACACCACTTTCAGTGTTTGAAAGGTGCAAGGCTTTAGGGGTCATGCGCTTTTTGAGGTCTAGGCAAGGAGATTTTGATGAGGCGTAGCTTAAGGCGCTCAAAGATTTATTCAGATTTTTTTTAATTGTTTAGTATATGTGCCTTGTGTCAACGAGGCGCGCCTTAGGCGCCTTGGTGCACCTTGAGCCTTGTTATTATTGACCACTTCAGTGTTTGAAAGGCGCCTAAGGCGCTCAAAGATTTTTTGACCACTTCATGTGCCTTTTGTGGTCTAGGCAAGGAGATTTTGATGAGGCGTAGCTTAAGGCGCTGAAAGATTATTTCAGATTTTTTTATTTTTTATTTTTTATTTTTATGTTTAGTATATGCGCCTTACGTCAACAAGGCGCACAGAGGCGCGCCTTGGTGCGCCCATAGCCTATTTAATTTATTGACCACTTCTATAACCCGTGTGCGGCCACTAGAGACCATCATGCTGTGCGAGGGACTAAAACAATGGAGCACTGCTTGCCGCCTCCATAACCCATTGTCACCACTAACTTTTGTAATTTTGGTAACCGAGTCCCGTACAAAAATCTAATGGTTGGATGTAGTCACTTGTGCCGGAGGTCAAGATAGGTACACGGATAGGTGTTGTGTGGTGTTGATGGAGAAGAATTAAATTCATCTTTGCAAAGGGCTGATGGGCAATGAGCCGATGATAAATAGGAATAGGGAATTTTGCTAGGAGACAAAAGAGGGGGTGATGGTGGCTGGGTTTTGTTTTGAGTACAGGGGGTTCTGGATAGGGTGGAAGTAGGGGTATGCGAACCCAGATTGTCAACTATTTTTTCAACTTACTGTTAACTGTGTAATTGCAATGTTCGGTCGGGATCATGGTTTTTATTACATTGTACTCAAATTTTATAAATAAATATTCATGAACAAATCAAATTGAAGAACTTGCTTTGCTACTGCCAAAACTCTAACTTATCACAATACATCATGCCTGGCAATGAATTTGGGAAAAGCAGAAATTTCAAAATTCAGTAAATGTTCCTACAATCAATTTGGCTCTCCTATCTGTTTCAAACCCTCTCCATCTCCATATTTCCCTTTCCCCTACTTGCCTCCACAACTAAATCAACATTGCTGTCATACTGCTCAATACTACCAACTTGCTACTCACTTTTAGGGTCCGTTGCCTTCCACCACAAAGGCATGACTATCATATCGGAACTTTGGCAAGTTACAAGGCATTTTTTTTAATAATTACCTGTGTATAGTGTAGATATCAATTTGGAAGCTTTCTTTTTTCCAGTTGTCTATATTTTCCATTAAACATCGACAAGGGGATTCTTTTAATGTCTCATATTATAATGTATCCTGAGAAGGATTAATAATGATTTTGAAGCCGGATGGGTTTGTGTACACACTACACAAATTTGACATGCCCATCCGGCTTGGCTATATTAAAATATGTAACAACTTTATTTCATTTCTTTAATGTCTTAGCTCCTTCCCTAAATTTCGTTTAGTTTGTTAATAAAATGAAGATAATGGGTCTATATTAAGGGAAAATTGACGGGAATAGTCCCAACTTTGCTCCATCCGCTCAAAATAATCCCAATTTTATACTCTATCTGCCCAAATTAATTCCAACCGGTAATTCCTTATATTAACTAGTCTTTATTTGTTTTCTGGTGTAATCTGTTAACATTTCGCCATATATGAAGTAATGGTGACTGATAACCTAGTTCTCTCAGGAAGTCAGGAATATCAATTTATCTCAAGAGTCTTCAGTTCCACACGAAATTACGTTTCTTGGTGTAAAGTGATGAGTCTGCTTTTGTCATGGAGTGATGTTTAATGTTATTGCAGATATTTTTTGCTTGTTGGCATTGATACACAATCCAGCTCTTGACGAAAGGACCAGAATTTGGGTGAACATGCAGAACAAAACTAGGATATTATAGGGCTCTTGTGATATAGGAAACTCAAATCTGCATGTGCATGTAATTTATCAATTTTATATCCAACGGATTGTCCTGTAATATATAGTATGATGTTTCCTTCCCAACAACGACTTCGGCTGGTCAGCTCTCAACTCTTGTTCTTTGTTATCTGGGTTATTTTAACAATCTTAGTATATTCTTATAATTTAACTTGCTCGTTACCCCATACTTCCAACTTTTTTTTAGTGCAACAGTTTGACCCATGCAAAGTTTAGTCAAATTTGTTAATATATTACCTCGTAGTTCGCATGTATGTGGGGTTTGGAATTGTGTAAGATTGGATGATGCTGGGCTGGGCTGCTCGTGGGATGATATTGCCTTGCATAAAAAAAATTAGGGCACGGCGTAGGCATGGCACTACAGAGTAGTGGGTTGGGTTTGAGCCACAATTATTTTTTTGTAACGATGCACATATAGGCATGACACGGCATGACCTGACACAAAAAAGACACTAAAACATTTTATATGGCGTCATGCATGCTAAAACATTGCGGTACTTTGGCCATTTGCTTGGGCCATACCCCCACGGTAAGACACGGTACATAGTAAGTGGGCTTAGTCTGGGTGGCCCCAAGGCATAACTTGAGTAAAAATAGACAATTATCCACTCTTAGTATGCCCAAGGATTGGAGTCATTGGACTCTTGAAACTGACTTGAACTAATGTGATGTTTACCTAATATCGGTTTAAACATAGTATTCATATTCCATATGGAACCAATAGAATGAAACTTGATGTAGAAGGTGGGACCTAATAGCTACAAATTACCTCGAATCCACGTTAGGTCCGATTATAGCGTGAATCTACCTTGTTAAATTTGCAACCTACTCGACTCGATAGAGCTTACGATTTCACAAGTTGGCATGTTAAGGACTTAACCCAAGCAAACCAAATCGTTTTTGATCCAGCTTGAGCCAACATGATACCTTAAATCAACTTTATCTCCGATTTGAACACGACCTAGTTTGAGAATAATGACTCCTCTGTGTTCAAATAAATGAAATGTTTTGACTTTTACGGAGTTGTACAAAGGTTAGTTGAATTTATTAATATAATAGATAGTGGGTTATAAGTTTGAGGAGAGAGAAGAAAGTAAGGAGTTTTATGGAGATCATTAGTTATTAGAATATTATAAACAAGTAGAAAAAATATTGTTAAAAAATAAAGAGAAATTACTAAAAAAAAAAGAAATGATTCATTTATTTAAACATGGCCGATTGACCGCAAATGAAAATGAATCTTTTATTTAAACACGGAGGGGATATAGGTATCTGTGTGGTGTTTGAGAATAGAATTATTGGTTGCGAGAATAGAATTATTGGTTGAATTATTTAGAAGTGATGCTCCTTGATGGGGGGGGGGTTGTTTTGGTTTTTTGGTTTGATTAAGAGTAAAATTGGAATTGAAAAGAAAGAGAGAAAGTTCAAGTGGAAAGTGTAGGGATAAAGTTGGTTAAAAAAAACTTTAATTGGGCAAAAATTAGTACTACCCCTTGTTTTTAATTTCTTTATACTTTAACTTAGATCACAATTAACAAATAACACTATGCCTATCGTTTATAATTTATACGTGAGGAGATATATATTCATGTTAATTCTTACTAATTTTGTGTCCGTGCGATGCCCGGGTTGTTTATTGAATTTTAAGATTGCCCAAAAAATTATTATGATACAAAAAATGATTTATTAAATTTTAAGAATTATAATCTAATAATTTTTTTGATAAAATTATAATTGAATTTGTACATTTGAAATATTGGTATTTTATCGAAAATAAAACTAATTTTATCCTAAAATTCTATCCAAATAGAATTCTAAATTAACTTTTTTTTTAATCTTATAAGGTCTATTTAAATCTATCCAACATGGCGCGACACTTGGCGAAAAGTTAGAACGCCAAATGTCGCAGCCTCGTGACCTGGCTAAAAGTTTAGCTTTATATATTAGTTATATGATTATATTCATTTTGATATGGAGTGTGTTTCAGAGTACTAACTTCTTATAAAAAGTAATTATTACTAACACATGTTTAAAAATTCTCTCTCCTTTTCTCTCCTCCATTTTCTCTTCATAACTTTCTCTCTCTAACCATCAATGGTCAAGCTAGGTCTTCCACTGCCGTTGTATTCGTCGTCTTCGTCCAGATCTCCTTGAAGCTCCAAGCTAGATTGTCATCGCCGTCTTCGTTTTGTTGTCGTCGAAGCTCCTCGAACTCCAAACTAACCCAAACCTCCGTCGTCATCGTCGTCTTCATCTTTGCCGGCGAAATCAACCAAATTGACCTCCACCTCCTCCATCGACCAAATTTCGAAGCTCCAAACCCTAACATTCCCCCCCCCCCCCCAAATTCAAGAGATTCAGGTACAAATTCATCAATTTATTCCAATTAAATAAATTTTCGTGACTGAACTGGTGACCTTTGCCGCCGTTATCTTTGTCTTCTTTGTGCTGAATTTCGACGTAGGTGAGATGTGTGATAGGAGGTTGTTGCGGTGGTCTAGTGGCTTGAGTTTGATGCAGGTTGAGAGGTGCAGGTGAGGTGTAGCGTGGGTTAGGGGCTGGCTTGGTGGTGTGGCGTTTGGGGTTGGGGCTAGTGGCGCGGGGTGGTGGTGTGGGGCAGTGATTTGTGTGATAAGTGAGGTGCAGTAGGTGATGGTGGTGTGGTGGAGTTTAAGGCTTTGAGGTGGTGTAGGCCTAGGGATTACTTACTTGGTTAGGGGTTACTTACTTGGTTAGTGGTTACTAGGGGTTACTTGAGGGATTACTTAAGTGGGGTTATTAGAGGGTTACTAGATGGGTTACTAGGTTTGGTTAAGGGTTACTTGATCTGGTCAGGGTTTACTAGTTCCGGTCAGAGGTTACTAGTTCCGGTTAGAGGTTACTTGGTCCGGTCAGAGGTTACCAGGTTGGTCAGGGGTTACTTGGTTGAAGGGGTTATTAAGTTGATGGGGTTACTTTGTCATTTGCTGATTTGGCTCTCTGTCGCGGCCAGTCGCACCAGAAACGCACTGTAAACTTTTATATTGATAAAAACTTACTTAATCAACTTGATTGGACCCTATCTAAAAAAACGAATTCAGATTTTAACTTGTATGGGCTAATAATTAATTAAAATTACTCAATTTTTTTTTGAAAGAATAAAATTACTCAATTTTAAAATAGAAATAAGTTAATTTAGGGTCTGTTCTCATTGGCTGAACTCAGCTGAACTGAATTGAGCTGAGCTGAACTGAACTGAACTAAACTGAATATTTTATAAGAGAAGGAAATTAGGAGCGGAGCGGAGCGGAGCGGAGCTGAACTGAGCTGAACTGAACTGAACTGAACTAAATTTCAACGTAAGAGAACAGACCCTTAATCTAATCTCACCGAACCTAACCAAATTTTTTTAAATTAACACCTCTACGTACAGTAACAATTGAATTCGAAATTGAGGGTATATTCTTTATTGGGACATTAATAATGTAGGTTGAATATTTGTGTGCCGACTTGAGAGACTTATATTCCACGCCGCCTGGAAGCAATTACTAAAAACAGGCTGATCATAGGAAATCTTGAATGGACCCCACCAAAATGATTGGTAATTGGTGCGCAATGGGGACCTTCAAAGACCGAGGAGCACTTCAGGTAATAATAATTCAACCAGATTATTGTAATCTTGAATATATTGTTCGGTAGTAGTTAGTCAATCAACATACCAAAGATTATGCATTAACGCTTTCTACTCCGCTTTAGTTAATTAATTATCAACCTTTGATAATATTTTTTACTCTGTAGTCGTTAATTAGGTTGTTTTGATAGAAAAGTTTCATTAAATAATTGATTATAAATTTTTTGAAAATTTTGATTTTCATACCTCAAATAAACACGAAAATGGTACACTACACATACACCAAAAAAAAAAAAAAAAAAAAAAAAAAACACAAGTTCACAAAATTGGAAGTTACCACCACTAACCAGTTTCCGTTAAAATGGGGTCCATTGTGCCACGTGTCACTATATTATTAGTTTTAAAAAAATAAAAAATAAAAAAAAACCAAAAAACCTAAAACTAACCTAGCCACCCCAACCCCACCGCCGGCACCGCGGCGCCACCACAGTCCCACCATTACCCTCCCGTTCCAAGGTCAAAGCCATCGAAAATCCCCTCCTTCCCTTTCCCCCCTCTGAGAAGCCAAAAATCACACCCCCAACGACCACATTCAGTCGTTCGGTTTTCAAACAACCACCAAACGGCTATAAAACGACCACTTACGGTCAAAATCGGTTGTTTAATGGTCGAAATCAACCATTTCGACCCTAAATTGGTCGATTTTGACCACGTGCAGCTGTTTTCGGTGGATGTTTTTATGGAGTATGGAAAATGACGGTCGTTTTGGGTGGGCTTTGGGGGAGAACTGCTAGTTTTGGGGAGGGGGAAAGGAAAGGAGGGGATTTGGTGGTTTCTGAGGCTGAAAACGGGGTTGTTAAGCGGAGGGAGTGGTGATGGTGTGCTGCCGGAGTTGGGGCTGACGGTGGGGGTAGAGTGGCTGGGGTAGTTTAAGGCTTTTTTAAAAAAAAAATTTAATCGCTTTTTTTTTTATTATTTTTTTATTTTTGACTAATTATATGCTGACACGTAGGCATTGTGAGCCCCAGTAACGGATTCCATCGATGAATCAATTGAGTGGTGGTAATATCCAATTTGTGAACTTTTTGTGGTGTTAAGATATAAGGTGTTTTTTTTTTTTTTTTTTTTTTTAAAAAAAAAAAATTATTTTATTTATTTTTTTAATTTTTTTTGGTAGTGTTAAAATTCATTTTTGTGTTTTTTGAGTAGTTAAAAATCAAAATTTCCTAATTTTTTTTGGTCGTTAGATATGTAGTTTTGATTGAAAAGTTACATGAAGGGCATGTTCACTTCAGCTTATTTTTAGTTCAGTTCGATTTAGTTTAGCACTTAATTTTCTTCTCTCATAAAATATTGAGCTCAGCTCAGTTCAGTTAATGTGAACATGCCCTAAATAAGAGTAATAATGTACATATTTAGGTGTAATGCTGATTACACAATTAACATATAGCTGGTTTGGACTTATCATGGAATTCAAGCACTTAACTCAATAGAGTATAAATTCATTTTTGATACTTATGTACGGGATGATACTGGTGTCGATATGTGATAAAAGGCAGTGGACCGGAACTTTCCCCTTAAGTCTTGTTCCATATTGGTACAGTAATCATATCGGCATATTCTTCTCAGCCACGAAGAGAGCTGCTTCCGACCACGTGGATATTCACCGCCCATTGCCATGCCAGCTACGTGGATCAACACGTGTCACCAATTGATTGGTTATCTTCCTATAAATAGTCAAGCAATATTCACTTTTAAGGTGCGATTTGTCTCTCCAAATTTCTCTCACTCTCTAAAAACTATCTCTCACCTCCTTTCTTACTCATATCAATCTGTTATTGACTTTATCATCGGAGCGGTTATCCCCGAATAAATCCCTGAGTTAGCTAATCCATGTCGACTGCGTAGGTATCTAGTTAGACAATAAACCTTTATTGACCCTAGAAAACACAGTTACCAGAACTCACCGAAACACTTCAGCCATCACTCTAATCTTTTTATTGAATTGATTGTTTAGCATAATATCAAAGTTAGGCTCATGGTTAAACCTTTAATCACTTTAATATTATGTGCCAAAGTAGATTAGACCACATGTGCGAGGGCGGAGGGGGATATTAAAAATTCATAGCCTCATGAAACATCATATGCATGTGTAAGTGTCCCACATTAATTAAAGAAAAGAGAAAATTATTTTATGAACTCAAGGGACTACTCTTTCTATTTTAAGATGAGTCTCCTTCAATCTTATGAATTGGATGACATGTGTGGCATAGCCTCAAACTAGTATTTAACTCAAAATGGTGCAACATGCACAAGGTAGATAATACTCCGTATCCAACAAGCTCTCATTTGGAGGAGAGATGTACACCTTTTAGCATCGTGAGAAGAAGAATCCCTAATTAAAAGAATTCTTATGAATTAAAAATACGAGAAAAGAAATAAAAAGTGTACACTTTCTACGAACTGAAAGTTAATGGGCAAACAAGGATCCTAGAAAATGATACTTTTAGTGTTCAAACAATCACATAATCATTTATATATATTATACTAAAAGACAAGCGTCTCAATGTGAGGATGATAAATGTCACTCTTTCATTGGCTTATTTTAAACATAAAATATATTTATATAAGTACTGTTTACATGTTCAAGCATAGTTATATTTTTGTTAAAATTCAAACAATAAAAGCAAGTTTCTATACATGTATAAGATTTTCATGATTTCCTAACATAAATATTGATTTAATTTTTTTTTTTTATAATAAATATATACTTTCCAATACTACAAATAATCCATAAAGTCTTTCCAATCTTTATTTATAGTCAAGTTAAAGAATAATAACTAATTTGAAGCAATATGATTAGAGTGGCATAATTAAGGAAACAAATATTTCGTATTTTGAAAAGCTAATACTGTTTTTTTTTTTTTTTTATGAAAATTAAATTTATAGTCAAGTTAAAGAATAATAAATAATTTGAAGCAATATGATTAAAGTGGCATAATTAAGGAAACAAATATTTCGTATTTTGAAAGGCTAATATTGTTTTTTTTATGAAAATTAAAGAAAATCGATAGAATTTAGTTTGACGTCAATTATGAAATCAATAAAAACATTAAAAAAAAATTAGATGTACAATAAAATATTGTGCACCTATTATAATAGCTACCCTGTAATCTATCTATATATCTATCTATCTATCTATTATACTAAAAGACAAGCGCCTCAATGTGAGTATGACAAATGTCACTCTCTCATTGGCTTATCTTAAGCATAAAATATATCTATATAATTACTGTTTACATGTTCAAGCATAGTTATATTTTTTGTTAAACTTCAAACAATAAAAGCAAGTTTCTATACATGTATAAGATTTTCATGATTTCCTAACATAAATATTGATTTAATTTTTTTTATAATAAATATATACTTTCCAATATGACAAATAATCCATAAAGTCTTTCCAATCTTTATTTATAGTCAAGTTAAAGAATAATAACTAATTTGAAGCAATTTGATTAAAGTGGCATAATTAAGGAAACAAATATTTCGTATTTTGAAAGGCTAATATTGTTTTTTTTTATTTTTTTTATTTATGAAAATTAAATTTATAGTCAAGTTAAAGAATAATAACTAATTTGAAGCAATATGATTAAAGTGGCATAATTAAGGAAACAAATATTTCGTATTTTGAAGGCTAATATTGTTTTTTTTTAAATGAAAATTAAATAAAATCGATAGAATTTAGTTTGACGTCAATTATGAAATCAATACAAATTTAAAAAAAATCAGATGTACAATAAAATATTGTGCACCTATTATAAAAGCTACCCTGTAATCTATCTATCTATCTATCTATCTATATATTATACTAAAACACAAGCGCCTCAATGTGAGGATGACAAATGTCACTCTCTCATTGACTTATCTTAAGTATAAAATATATCTATATAATTATTGTTTACATGTTTATGCATAGTTATTTTTGTTAAACTTCAAACAATAAAAGCAAGTTTCTATACATGTATAAGATTTTCATGATTTCCTAACATAAATATTGATTTAATTTTTTTATAATAAATATATACTTTCCAATACTACAAATAATCCATAAAGTCTTTCCAATCTTTATTTATAGTCAAGTTAATGAATAATAATTAATTTGAAGCAATATGATTAAAGTGACAAAATTAAGGAAACAAATATTTTGTATTTTGAAAGGCTAATATTGTTTTTTTTATGAAAATTAAATTTATAGTCAAGTTAAAGAATAATAACTAATTTGAAGCAATATGAGTAAAGTGGCATAATTAAGGAAACAAAAATTTCGTATTTTGAAAGGCTAATATTGTTTTTTTTTATGAAAATTAAATAAAATCGATAGAACTTAGTTTGACGTCAATTATGAAATCAATACAAACATTTAAAAAAAATCAGATGTACAATAAAATATTGTGCACCTATTATAAAAGCTACCCTATAATGAATGAAAGTTACTTATGCTTTATTGATAAAAGTTACCCAAAATAGTCTAGAAGTTATCCTAAATTCAATTCAAGTAATCGGTTGAATACAAAAGTTTTTGATAAAGATACAAAATAGTGTAAAAATTACGAATACTGAGCCGAAATGTTGTCTTGGAAAAAAATACATAATCTTGAACAAAAATTTAATTTTAATCGGGCTTTCATTTTCTATACAATGTCTTTTACAATGACCTTTTGTTTTTCTTGCATAAAAAAAAAAAACCTGAACCAATAACCAATCTAAACAAGAAGAATAAAAGTTAAATTGAATTAGACATTTGACGGAAAAAGGATATATATAAAATGTATTATAACTATTACTCGTGTTTTAAATTGTAATATTCGTATTAACAATGCTATTACTTATGAATTTTTTTTAGAAAAACTAACATTTTGATTTAAAAATCGTGCATTGCTCATGTACTATACCAGATATACAACAATCATGTGCAATAATTTATGTTGTTTTATACATAATAATACTTTTAACTATAATAGTATGTGTATATAATATAATATTTTTTATAATATAAAAAAGTATATGTATATAATATAATATAATATTTTATAACACGTGTTCTCCATACCAAGTGTTTGGTTGTTGGTGTAGTGGTGATTGTGACTACACTTGGTAGGGAGGACCTGTGTTCGCTCCTCTGCAACAACAATCGGAAGGGGAGTGGAACCTAATAGCCTAGAACAGATTCTCAAATCTGGATTAGCCCAAAGGGTGAACCGGATAGAACACCCAAAACTCAATGCATATATGACGGGAATTAACTTATCCTTTATCTATCTTATACAAAACTCCAAAGTCTAATTTTTTTTTTCAAAATATAATAATAACATTTGTAAATTTTTGTTAATATGAAAGATATAAACCTATCAAAATGTATCTATAGTTAAATTGTTTAATAACTTATATCGAATGCGTAGTTTTATTAAAATTATTTGCATGTAACCATTAAATGTGTTGGATGTTGTGTAGCTATGCAATGTCCAAAACTTTAGTTGAGCGACTTTGATTTAGTGATTGTACGGTAAAAAGATATTGACTTCGATCTTGAAACTTAATAGTCTAATAAATTCTAAATAGAAAAATTAAAACAAAAGGAAATGAAAATAGTAAATGGCTTTAAATATTGAAATAAACATAACCTTTTAAATCAATTTAGCGAATTCAAGAGACAATTTTAAGGTTTTTAAAATTAAATGGGGGAAAATATATGTAAAAAGAACATTTTTAGATATATAAATGTCCATGCACTATTATAAGAGTTTTGTTAACCATTTTATAATTAAGGTAGGGATAAATCTTAGTAATATATACTCTGTATATTTTATTTATATAAAATTATCAGTATCCATACCTACATACGAAGTATTTGTGTTGTATACTATATTTAATCAGCTATTGGTTATATATATGACTATTATATAATATATAGTTTTTTGGCACAATGCTTAACTTAGGAAAACATATGTTCTGGTAGGTTAAATATAAGGTTATTATTGTGTCTATAGATTGAATGAGTGCGACGGGTAAATAAAACATGTGTATATTAGATTGATTGTAGCTACTGATGCGAATGGTATGATAAGAAAATTTTAGTTTTTTCGTTCTCAACGGGAGATATAAATAAATTAGTCCACTTCTTATATAGCTATGTGGAGTATTATTCAATTATTTTTCAATTAATAAAATAACATTATAAAAAATTAAAAGAAATTCAAATAACATAAAATACTATTCAAATAACGTTCCTTTAAATTTTTTTTTATTGACCATTAGTAACCAAGTCCTTTAATAGTAAATGAATTACCTTTGTTTTTATTTTTATTTTTCCTACGGGTTTAATAATTTGATTTATAAATCGTGCATCGCACGGGCACTATGCTAGTTGTACTATATAGGTATAGTATCAAATTATCAATTGCCACATGTTCAGTAATCCCAATACATACCATTTTGTAGATCCGTACAACATCACACTACTACATTTTTGATCAAATGCCACGGCCTAATAAAGGCTATTGCAACGGTATTTTAATTGCCGTTGCAATAGAGTAGGTTAATGCGTTTTAATGTGTGAGAAGTAGAGCTATTACCACGGCTTTAATGAACCGTTGCATCAGCCTAGATATTTCAACAAAAAGGAAAGCTATTGCAACGGTTTGTGATTATAGTAATGGAAATAGTACGTATAGCAGGCGCGCTGAAAATTTCATCTTCCCTCTACTTTTTTGCCCAAATATTTTGAACCCTTATTTTCTCTCTACTGTACTCTCCGTATACTTTCCCCATTTTTCTGATTTCTCTATTTTTCTGTTCGAATTCACCATTTCCCCCATTTTTCCATTTCCCCCAATCCTCCATTTCCCCCAATTCTATTAAGCTATTTTAATTAGCAATTCCAAAAACTTTAAATTCTCAATTTTCCCCAAATCTCCGATTTTAAGGCCATAAAATACTCAAAAATTACTTACAATTTCTTGAAAATTCTGAGAGGAAAACTTAGTGAAGTAGAGGAAGGCGGAACTCAAGAGGTGGTGTAATTCAAGTGACGTTTGGTTGCTCAAGAGGCGGCGTAATTCAAGTGGAGAAGTTCCATTTTCGTTTTGCATGTCCCTGTTGCTGATATCTCGACTTTGAGTTCAAGGTATACAACGATTCTTCATTTCAGAAATTTGATTCTTCATTTCAGAAATTTCTTAATTGAAATTTTTGTTGTTGTGTTTTGATAAAATAAATTTTAAATTTTTATTGCTGTCTTTGGGAATTTGTATTTGAGTTTGAATTTCAGGTTTATTTTTTCTCAAATTTTACTGTGAAAATGCTATACATTTTTGGGGTATGTTTGGTTGAATTTGTTGTTCTTTTTGCTTGAATTATATGGGGAAAAATTGCTGTGATTTTCTGGTGTATATTGTGCTCGAAATTTGGGGTGTGCGGCTTGATTTTGATAAATTAAAAATTTAATATTTAATTGACAAATAGATGCTGTTATTATAAATGCCAACCCAGATGTGAAAATTCAGGCAGACCACAAAGTGGAGAAGGAGCTGTGATCGGATGAGAGGAAGATGGTTTGTACATAAGATATGACCCAGAGCCCATGTTTAAATTTGGGGTGTGCTGCTTGATTTTGAGAAATATATGCAATTCTATGTAAGCAAGAATAGAGTTAACTAATTTAAGAGTTCAGAACAATTACCCATGTTTTCCATTAGTTTGGGCATCACGAAAACAACTAACAACATGAAGCCAACCATAAGACCAATTGTGTGAGATTCACTGTTGATCCACTGTTGGATAGAATTATACTCTGTGATAAACAAGACTAGTTCATGGCTTACCTCATAGAGTCATAATAGTATTCTACTTTCTGATCTGAACTGAGTCCTTTGTATTAGTTTATATATGTTTCTGATCTTGAAAATATTATGGGCTTAATATCCTATATTTTATGCATTTTTAGTTTACTTCATCTATGATCTGAATTAGATATTCTGATTTCAAAATAAAGCCACTAATTTTTGATTATTGAGGATACAAATCTGTCTAAATAAAATTGCTGAATAATGAAAGGTATTAATTTCTTTTGGACTTTTGAATTGATCATGTACATGAAGGATTCTTAGGTACTTTGTTTGTTGCTGTTCTGATAATGAAAGGTTTCTGTCAGTTTCTGATGATGAAAGGTTTCTGTCAGTTTCTAATAATGAAATGTTTCTGTCAGTGACTCTCTTAACTCTTAGTGAATTGGTTAAATGTTTTTATTGTAAAAATTAAGTAAAATAACCCTCTTTATTCTTACCATAAGGTATGGATAGTGGAACTAAAGAGTGGTGGATGTTTGCCAAATGGAGTGATGAATATGAACGGGGAGTAGATGAATATGTACAAAAGGCTTTTGCTTCTAAGTCTCAAGGAAATCAAATTTGTTGTCCTTGTGAAAGTTGTCATTATCGTTTTTGGCGTCATGAAGGTGTTGTGAGAGATCACCTTATTTGTAATGGTTTTGTTCCACAAACGGATAGGTTATCAGAGTTAGGGATCCACTTTGAAAGGAAACAAACTGTTTTGGATAACGAAGAAGGGTCAACCCCAAATGATTTTAATGATGACATAGTAGAATTTTTGCATGATGCACATGATGCTTTTAGAAAGGGGCCAAATGACGAGGCAAAAAAGTTTTTCAAGTTAGTTGAAGAGGGCCAGGAAGAATTGTTCCCTGGTTGTAAAAATCATTCAAAACTTTCCTTCATGATCCGTCTTTTTATTTTGAAGTGTGATCATAAGCTAACTAATGTTGCTTTTGGAGATATATTGGAGCTTATAAGGGAGGTGTTACCTGAAGCGAAACTGCCAGCTTCTTTTAATGACGCAAAAAGTGTTCTGAAAGTGTTGGGGTTGGATTACACTAAGATTGATGCGTGCCCAAATGATTGCATGATATATTGGGAAGAGCATGAAAATGCAACAAGCTGCCATGTTTGTGAGACGCCAAGATGGAAATCAAATGACACAGAGAATGACATACAAAATGAAAATGGAAAAACCTATAGGATTCCTCAAAAGATTCTTAGGTACTTTCCAATCAAGAAAAGGCTTCAACGACTATTTTTGTGTCAAGAGACGGCGAAATACATGACTTGGCATGCTGATGGGCGTGAAAATGATCATCTCTTACATCATCCTGTTGATGGTCAAGCTTGGAAGGAATTTGATTCTTTATAACCAAAGTTTGCTGATGACCCACGCAATGTGAGGCTTGGGTTAGCCACAGATGGATTTAGCCCATTCAATTCAATGAGCATTGTCCATAGTACATGGCCAGTAATGTTGATTAATTATAACTTGCCTCCTTGGATGATTATGAAGCCTGAGTTTTTGATGCTAGCCTTACTAATTCCCGGCCCGTCTTCCCCTGGCAATGACATTGACATATATTTGCAGCCACTTATCAAGGACTTGAAGGATTTGTGGGAGTTTGGGTTGGAAACTTATGATGCTTCGACTAATCAAAGGTTTGACATGCATGTAGCATTGATGACTACCGTGAGTGATTTTTCGGGTTATGCAATGTTATCTGGGTGGAGCACAAAAGGATACTTGGCATGCCCTGAATGTCATTATGAAACAGATTCCGAGTGGTTGCCTTGTAGTGGTAAGACTGTGTATAGGGAAAATCGTAGATTTTTGGATCCATCTCACCCTTGGCGTCATGATAAGAGGAATTTTGATGGAAAACTTGAGGAAAGATGTCAACCTATTCGTGATGATGGAAAATTTTGATGGAAAACTTGAGAATATGTTGCGTGATTTTCCAAATGCATTTGGAAAGAAGCAAAAGAAACCAAGGCGTGATGTGGATGATCCGAATCCGTGGAGAAAGATACCCATATTTTTTAAGTTACCATATTGGAAGCATTTCTCTAATCGCCATAATCTTGATGTAATGCATATTGAGAAAAATTTCATTGATAATATCATTGGGACATTATTAGACATTTCTCCGAAGACCAAGGATAATGTGAGTGCTCGTTGAGATTTGGTAGAACTTAATTTGATGCCAGAGCTTCAACCAATTGAATTTGAAGATGGTAGTGAAGAATTTCCAAGATCTCGCTTTTGGATGTCATTGGAGCAAAAGCGTAAGTTCTGCCAGGTTATAAAAAATGCTAAGCTTCCTCAAGGTTATGCTTCCAACCTTAGTCGTTGTGTGCAAGTTGGAGAAAGGAAAATAGCAGGCTACAAAAGTCATGATGCTCATTTTATGATGAATTATCTTCTTCCAATTGCTGTGAAGACAACATTACTCAAAGATGTTGCTAGTCCTTTGATAAGACTTTCTGCTTTTTTCAAAGGTATATAGAGTAAAACTATTGATCCTCGAGATCTTGAAAAATTGCAATCTGAGATAGTTAAAGCTCTATGCCTACTTGAGAGGATTTTTCCACCTGCTTTTTTTTTATATAATGGAACATTTACCCATACATTTGGTTGACCAAATTAAGTTGGGTGGACCTGTGAGTTCAAGGTGTATGTATGGGATTGAGAGGAATCTTCATGAAATGAAACAAGATGTTCGAAACAAGGCTCGTCCAGAAGGCTCAATGGCAGAAGGAAACCAAGCTAAAGAATATGTTGCTTTCATAGCTAGATTTTTGAAACGATCAAGAAAAGCCACACCTAAAGTTAATGAGTGTGGTACCTCAAAATCATTTTTCCCTAAGGTAGGACATCCTATCAAAGGAAAAGGAAGGACCTCAAAGAAAAAAAATCGTCGTGGAAACATAATTGATCGCAATACATGGGCACAAGCACATCGTTATGTCTTGTTCAATTGTCATTGTGAGGAAGTTGAGAAATATATAAGGTAAGATTTGTAATCAAAATTTAGATTTATTAATATTTTTTTTATAAAATGTCTTTATTCTAACTCTAGTGCGTTAGTAAGAGAAATATTTTTTTTTACAGTGAGCACAAGATTTGTGTAAGTGCTAAAAGGAAAAGAAAATGGAATAGTGCTCAAGACCACAACAAGGATTTCATGGATTGGTTTAGGGAGAAAGTTGATTTGATTCTTAAAGATGGCCATGATAATATCCCGGACCATATTTTGTGGTTATCAAAAGGTCCCTCTCACGTTGCCAAAAAGTACACAGGATACTCGGTTAACGGCTATAGATTTCATACCATGAAGCGAGATGCAAACTGCGGAACTCAAAATAGTGGCGTCACTCTAACAGCCATTACACATAGCTTTGCAAGCTCCAAAGATCAAAATCCTGTTGTGGGAAATGTTAATTATTATGGTTCAATAACTGAAATCATTGAGATATCTTATCATGGTCATTTCAGTGTTGTCTTATTTAGATGTCAATGGTTTCACTCAGATAAGGATGATGATGAGCTTATTACGGTTAATATGAATAAGACCGTTCTAAAGAAGAACCTTTTATCTTAGCAACTCAAGCACATCAAGTGTTTTATGTGGAAGATTTGAATAGAGAAGGTTGGCATTATGCTGTTCAAATTCCTCCTAGAGAGTTTTCAGATGGTATTGACATATAGGGGTGTACACCGGTCCAAAACCGGACCGGACCTGGACCGGACCTGTTTGGACCGGGGACCTGAATTGGGTAATTATGAGGACTGGGGACCGGACCTGAATTAACAGGTCCGGTTCCGGTCCAGACCTGAAAAATCAGGCCTGGTCCAGGTTTAGACCTGAATGGACCTGTTTTGTGTTTTTTTCGTTTGTTTTTTTTAATAAAAAACCTATTGGACCTGCATATGGACCTGTTTTGTGATTTTTAGACATGTTGCATAATTTAATAATTACATACAAACCAAAATTATCAATCACAAAACTAAATAAAGTCTATAAAGTCCCAATTCTCAAACACCAAAAATACAATTGAATCCACCGAAAATACAAATAAGTCCACGAAAACTCATAACATTACATAAATTCTCTTAAGTCTCAACTCTCAAAGTCTCAAGTACTAGAAATACATAAATTCTCCAACGAGTTGTTTTCCCTTTGATCGCGTGATTCACACTAATGAGTCCACGAAAACAACTTCATCGTCTACATCGTTAGATTCACCACGTTGCACCTCTAAATAAAATACAATATAGAATATATTAATGATTGATAACAATGAAATAATAAATTTGGTGTAACAAAATTTCAAGTACATAAAATTATTACTACCTTTCTCTATTTCCTCTAACTCTTTCAAATTTTCTTCCACATCAACAATTGGCACTTCCTTAGCTCTAAGCCAATCTTGTGTGCAAAGTAGCGCTTGAACCATCTTCAATACAAAAATATTACACAAATATGTATAAACAAAGTCATATTAAGATATAAGCAAACTTGATTTTATAAAATAAAAAGATAACGATGCATTACCTTAGGAGTTAAAAGAACTTCGAAATGGATCTAGAGTACGACCTCCCGTACTAAAAGCAGATTCTGATGCAACGGTCGATAATGGGATGGCTAGTATGTCACGTGCCATGCGATTAAGAATCACATAACGCTGACCATTCTTACCCCACCATGTCAATGCATCTTGTTCTTCCTCCTCCGGCCCTAATTGATCATTTAAGTACCTATCCAACTCACTTATCGCATACCCACTTGTCCCCTTCAATCGTTTTGCTCTTTCTTTTAGTTTCCTCACATAATCGGAACCCACTCCTTTACTATTATCAATATCCATTGACATATTATCTCCACAATCTGGAATATTAGAAGTAGCATACATTTTTCTATATTCCTCAAATAAAGAGTAAGCGAACTCCTTCACATCATTAGCAAGTTTTGTACCCTTTTCCGGTCCATGCATATCCGTTAGTGTCAATTCAACAATGACCATCTTAGAGTGAGGGTCGAGAAGAAGAGCAACATAAATGAATTTATTCATCTTATCCAAATCCCCCCAATACTTATCAAACTTTTTTTTCATTGCAATGGCCATAGCTTGAAAATTCAAGTCCTCACTTTGTTCCCAATTATTTAACATATCATACATAGAAGCAATTTCTCCTAAACCTTTATTAGCTGTCACATAATGGGAACCAGAAATTCGTTTAGTCAACAGATAAAACCCCTCTAGAAACAAAACTAGCTTCTCCACTTTTTCCCAATCTTCGGGTTCGGGAGGCCTTTCATTGTCATTCAAATCCTCTCCATCAAGAAGAGATAACCCACTAAAAACACGTCGAAACTTCAAAGCCGTTTCCAACATTATGTATGTGGAGTTCCAACGAGTGGGGACATCAAAGGATAAAGAAGATTTTGAATCTATGTTTGCTTTTTGCACAAGATCTTTGAATCTAAGTATTCTTGCAGAGGAATTCTTAACATATTTCACAGCATTTCTAACTCTATCAATGCACACACCATGTTCTTTAATACCATCCCACACAATTAAATTAATGATATGAGCAATGCATCTAACATGAAGATTTTTTCCATCATTAATACATCCTGTTCTTCTAACCATTCTACTCAAGTGAGCACAAGCAACATCATTTGAAGAAGCATTATCAACAGTGACAGTAAAAAGTTTATCATCAATACCCCAATACTCTAAACATGCCTCAATTGCTTTTCCAATAGCCTCTCCTTTATGACTAGAAATTGGACAAAATTTATGATCTTTTTTATCTAATTTCCAGTCATTATCAATGAAATGAGCTGTAAGACACATATAATTAATTCTTTGTATTGAAGTCCAAGTATCAGTGGTCACAGAAATTCTTTGACATGTCTTAAACATTTCTCTCAATTTCTCTTTTTCACTATAATACAACTTTAAACAATCACGAGCAATGGTAACACGAGATGGAATGTGAAATTGTAGACATGCAACTTGCACAAAGTGCCTAAAACCGGGTTTTTCCACATGCTTAAATGGTAACTCATCAACAATAATCATGTGAACCAATGCCTCTCTAACATCATTCAAGTTAATAATCCTACTCCCACACTTTAATTCACCACTCTCATGTTCTTGATCAAAATACAATTTAGTTTGCTTTTCTTTGCCCTTTTCTTTTTCTATATTAATAGGATTACCGAGACATGATTCTGCATGATTTTTAACATTTTTGGAACCATTAAGATTACCATCAGCAGCAAAAGTTTTAGGACAAAACTTACATTCAGCTCGTAGTTTTCCATTCTCGGCGTACTCTAAGTAATATTTCCAATACTCAGCTTTCCTCTTACTTTTTCTGTTCCATATATACTCCCGCGCCGCTTTTAGCTTCTTATCAGGAGCCAAAGTAGATTGCAATTCTGCCATATCCTTTTCAGAAAGTGGTTGTGACGTTTGTTCAGAAAAAGAAGCCGACCGTTTGAATTGAGAGCTCTCCATCTACAATATAATTATAGACAATATAAGTAATTTTAAAGTAACAATTATATACACATACCATTTTATAAAAAAATTTAAGAGCAACTTACATTGCAAGAATAAGAATCCGTGGTTCCTCCACTCCCTTGTTAGCCCTAGGCAAGTCTGCAAGAATAAGAACAAGAATAAGAATCCCTGAACTGCATACAACTATGTCTTATCAATTCTAAACAAGTTAGCCAACTCAAATCTGAATTCTGAACTGCATACAACCATGTCTTAACAATTTTGATACAAGTTAGCCAACTTATTTAATCATCTGAGTCTCTTACAAATCATGCACTACGTTTATTTATTTATTTATTTATTTAAATTTGGCCTAAACAGAGATTCAAAGGCTGTGAATCTGTGATAGTGTGATCAATTCTAAAACCTGAACCCTAAACTCAAAAAAACCAAAAAAAAAACATAAATTCGAAGACAAACCATACTTGTTATCAATTCTAAACCCTAAACCCTAAACTAAAAAAAAACCAAAAAAAAAACATAAATTCGAAAAAAATTCGAAAATAAACCATAATTCTTATCAATTCTAACCCCTAAACCCTAAAACCGTAAACCCTGAACTCAAGAAAACAAAAAAAAACATAAATTCGAAACAAATGAACTAAAAAAGAGAAATTCAACATGCAAACATCAAACAATCATTATAAGCAATTGAAACATGAATAAACATATAAATTCTAACACTTAATTCATTATTTCGAATACAAAATACCCAAACATAATTAGATAATTTAGATTTACATTAAAAAATAAAAATAAATAACTTACCGGAGAAATGGAGAATCGCGCGGCAGCTGTCTCATGCGGTGGGCGCCTGGGCTTCGCCTGAGAGAGTGAGGAAGGCAGGGAGGTGTCACTGTCGGCGGTGGGCGTTGGGCTTACTGGCTGAGAGATAGTGAGAGTGAGGGAGAGGGGGAGACAGCCAGGGAGTTTGGAGATTGGAGTCTTGGAGATAGCGTTAGGGAATTAGGGTTAGAAATGAAAGAGAACAGAATCGTCAGTTCGTCACTCAAGCAAAGCAGCAAGCAGCGTTAATTTGATTTTTGATTTATTTATTTATTTATTTTTAAAAAAATACAATTTTTCCGGGTTTTAGGTCCGGACCTGAAAACCCCGGGTTTAGACCGGGTCCGGACCGGAACCGGGAACCTTGATTTTTAAGGACCGGGACCGGACCTGAATCAACAGGTCCGGGTCAGGTCCGGTCCGGATCAGGTCGGTTCAGGTCTGGTTTCAGGTCCGGTCCAGTTTTTGTACACCCCTATTGACATACGTTATTTTAATACTTCACTAAATGTTATTTTACATACATAATTAACATACTTCCATTTTTTTTTACATTGCAATTTATTTCAATTTATTATATTTACATGGCAATTTATTTCAATTAATTATATTTACATACATAACTAACATACTTCCATTTTTTTCAGATGAAACCGAGTAGACCCAAAGTTCCTACTTCCCAAAGTCAGATAACTGAATATGAGTTGCAACGGCTTCAAAAACTGAAATTCAATGCAGAGAGAATGGAAGCCCGAGGATCAGCATCTGTAGCTAATAAGATACTGGAAGAAAAAACAAAAGCCTTAATTTGTCCAAGTGCAAGGCAAAAACGTATACCAGAAAATGAAGATGATGACTCTACGTCGGAATACGATGGTGAAAATGAGGTTGAAACTGATGACATTATGGAAGGTGACAATGTCACTTCTGGAAAAAGAAAATCTAGTAAGCAGGTATTCACTTCTATTTTGTCATTTATACACACTGTTTTATATTGTTTTTCATGGTTTACATGCAATTAGTAATGCTATAATTGCCTTTTTTTTATAGGTTTCAAAGCAAGTAAAGAAGTCATCATTTCGCCCTAAAACTATGGCTGATGTTGTGGAAGTGAATAGCCATAAGAAGCATGCAGTTGATGAAGTTCAGAACACTTACTCAATTGAGGTTGCTAGTGTTAAAGATCAACGCATCCAAAAGAAGCAGCAAGTTATCTCAGAAAAGAAGGGAACAAAACGAGCGTTCTGTTCTCCTGGTTCTATGTCAGCGTACCTTGAGTTCCGGAAAAGGAAAAAAGAAAATAATGATGGGTTTGTATCAGGTACTCAATCTTTTAATAATTCTCTGACAAGAAAAGCAATGAATAATGGCGCTGCATTTAATGAGAATACCAATGGTGATGCTGATGTACTAAGTGAGAATGAGGAAGTGGATGCACTAAATGAGAATGATGATGGTGTTGGTAATGAATATGAGGGTGATAAAGGATTACAAGATGAAGTTCAATTTCAGTTTGGAAGCGAAGGAATGCAAGGTATTTGCAATCATTTTACGTAGTATTATTTATTTTAGCTTTTGTTAACATGCTAAAGTCTGGTGAATTGTTTTTCTCTTATTATATCTGGATTTGTTTACTAAAAAGGTATAAATTTATTTTAAGATTTATGAAATATTGGAGTACATTGTGAGTTGGATTCTGCCAGTAGCTGCCTTAATAATTAGCTGACCTGTCAGTATTTTGATCTTTGGATTCTGCTAGTAGCTTCCTTATTAATTAGCTGCCTTAGTATTTTGATCGAGTTATCTCAGAAAATTTGTTTTGTTTTGGTGTGCAAAATGATATGTTTGTCTTCAATTTATTGAGGTTTTGGTGTTGTTGTTCTTTGTTGTTGCTGTTGCCTAGGCATTGTTGTTTGTTGGTCTGCTGCTATTTAAGTGCTCTATTGCTTGCTTATTTTTTTTGTGATCTGATTTAGTTATTTGCTAGCCTAGGCTGTTCACACTCAGTTGTACAAAGCATTTAGAACTCTATATATCATGTGAACTTAATTAACTAAAATAGACAAACCAATAATGAACAAGGTTAGAGCTGACTGTTTTCCTTCCCTAAATCCTCTTAATTGCTTCCTTTGCTTCTCTTGACTCTTGTTGACTTCCTTTTGCGCGTCTCGAGTATACCAAAAGTGGTGGCTGACCAGTGGTGTTGACCCCATTGAACCAATCCATAACAGTGCCTCAATCTTAAAAGACTTGTACACACCATCCCTTAGATAATTGGTAGACGAGGATCATCCCATCCATCCACTCTTTCATTATATACAAACTACAGAACTTGGCTAAGATTCTGCATTATTAGGAGACTAGGATGCAGATCATAATGGAGAAAACAATAGAAAAATTATTGTAATTTTCACTAAGACAGAATTATAGAGTTTCTCTTGCAGTCCTCGTGTCTTTGAGAATTGAAAGCTGCAAACAGGTCTTAAGCTCTAGTTCCTTGTATTAAACTCCTCATCTCTAGTATCAAAAAACCTGATTACTTGAAACACCGTCAATGCTGAAATTAACTGCCAGACAAGGCCTGTAGTGAAAATCAATAAATATGCCTTAATAGAAATTTTATAAAGGCTTGAACTGATTGGAATTCAATGTTTTAAGATGAAATACAACTGTAGGGAAACTAAACCGGTCGGCATTGTCATAAGCCTGAGGCACAATTACACTTTGACAGTTTGTTTATGGGATAACATGATCTGTTAATGAGCATATATCACCCATCCATCCACTATTTATTGAGGTTTATCACTCAAACTGATTCTTTTCTTGTCTTGCCACACAAATTCTGTCCAAGAACCTCCTGATTTAGAACCTAAAAAAGCTCCTAAAAGCAAAAGGCATCGAGGTCCAACAATGCTACCCAAGGTACATGCACGAACAAGAGAAGAGCGTGAAGTTATTGTTTTAAACTCATCGGGCCAACCAATTGGACCTACACGTGAAATTGTTCAGGAGTTCAAGCAATTCTTGGGTACTGTGGCAAGGGATTCTGAACTTGCACCACTAAATTACATTAAGTTTCCATGTCTACCCACACTTGACAAAATGTGGGAGTATGTCCAAGTATGTAGTAATATAATTCTTTAGCTTAAGTTCATTGGATTTCATTTTAAAAAAATGCTTCTTATTTTGTTACTAGACCATAAATAATTATATATTCATGATTTGTGTAGGAAAAGTATATGGTTCCTGAAGCTGGAAGAGAATGGGTGATGCAAGCTATCAATGGAAGCTGGAAAGCTCATTAATGCTTGACTAAGAAGAACTACTTCTATGCATATCCCACTGATGCTTTAAGATGGTTTCATAAGCCAGACACAATTTCAGAACCTCAATTTAGAGAGCTTTTGCAATATTGGCATTCTAAAGAGGTCGAGGTATTATGTATATGGTTTTGAAATGTGTTGTGCAATATTGACATAGTTTCATGACCTTAATAGCCTATTTGAATTTACTTTTATATGATTTATTTACGTGGTTCAAAATTTTTAAATCTTTATTGTGTTATCACATAGGAAATCAGTAAGATCAACAAAGACAATCGCCTAATTTTAGATGACATGCACACTATGGGCCGTAACTCTTACGCAATTTTACGGCATGAGTTGGTAAAATAATTCATCTCATTTTTTGACACTGTTATTATCTTTATAATCATTAATTTACAATAACTACATGTACTACATGAAGCTTTCACCCCTGTCCTTTAATTATTTGTAATCACTTCAATTTTATGTATAATGTTTCACAGAAACAACAAGATCCCGATAAGCAAGAACCTTCTCAAGCAAGGGTCTATAAGGAGTCAAGGAAGAGAACAGTGGGAAGGACATACCTTACCAACCAAGAAAAAATAGCAGAGAATATTGTGAGTTAACATGCATGTTAGATCTATGTTATATTTGTTTTGTTTTGATAAATAATAAGCACGTGGCTGTAATTTCTTAATATAGGCTAAAATGGATGCTTTGGAGTCTTCCCAACATGAATATGGTAGTAACTCTAAGGACCCTTACTCCAAAGTGATTCCAGAACCTAAGCGTAAAAGCCGTGTACGCCTACAAGGAAAAGGTGTGAAAAAGTCAGATTTGCAGAAAAAAGAAAAAAAATTCAGATTTCATATTCCCGGCGGAATTCTTAGAAAATATGCAAGCTCAATTAGTACAACAACTTGCACCAAGTGTAACAACTGCAATTTTGACTCAACTTCAGGATGCTAACCCCGGGATTAATCTTGTCATTCCTGATTTTTCGATTCCATCGGCTCCAAAGGATGCATGTAGTGCGCCACATCTTCTCGTTGACCAAAATAGGCAATCTTCTAAATCTGGGGCTACAATTAATCAGGTAACATAAATCATTTTCTGTTGCTTCTGTCTAAATTTAGTTTATGTTATTGACCTGATTCTGCCGTAGCTACTGCTGAAATATTGTTGTTGTTCATGTATTTTTCTAATGCACACTTTTGCTTTATTCCTTTACTGCTTTTGGTTTTGTCTGCCTTACTTTTTCCCCCTTTTTTCACTTATATGGATGTACACTTTACTGCTGAAATATGGTTGTTGTTCATGTATGTTTCTGTCTAAATATTGTTGTTGTTCATGTATGTTTCTGTTTCTGTGGCTGATTTTTTTTTTTTTTTTTTTTTTTACAACTAGAAAAGGAAGGTTAATCCCTAAACTTAGTTCAGTTTTCCCCTAGTTTGATTTTTACAACTAGAAAAATTGAATGTAGGTGGTTGTTTTCTACAAGTTAGCACAGATTTGCTTGTGTATGTTGAGAATTCTGTTCTAAGCTACATAATTTCTTATACTATTCTTTAGGAGATTTGAATAACAATACCTGAAGAAGCATGGAAGGTTGAGCAGTAGGATCAGCATTAACATGGCTTCTTGTTTTTCTTCCATTCACGGTAGTTATATTATTTTCAGCATTATTTTCTATTGTTTAGTTATATTATTTTATTCTTTTTTACATGTAGGTGCATGGTGAGAAAAATGAAGATGAAGTATAGTGACTACATGACTAGCTAGTCAACTAACAAATGGTGCAAATATTTTGGCGACTCCTATCTATTAGTTCAAGTTGTGAAGATTTGAAAAAACCGGCTTATATATATGTTGGAATATGTATTTTGGACGATTAAATTAATTATATAACTTTAGTTTATTAGTAGGGTATCATATCGAAAACAAGTAATATTTTGTAATGTACGTATTTAGAATTATAATTATTATTGTATATAAATTTAATGAATTTTTGTTTCTCTTAGCTTGTTAGTATATTTAGATTTGTAGTGACTAATATATATAATTAGTGATTTAATTTACAACTAATTTAACTAACTCATATAATATTATTTTACTGTTCCATTAAAAAAATAATATAATAATAATAATAATAATAATAATAATAATAATAATAATAATAATGTCGTTGTAATAGATACACTCTCCATATATATATCGTTGTATACAACAACCGTTGCATTAGGTGCCAATTTCATCATAATTATTAGTCGGTAATCTATTGCCACGGATAATTTATGCCGTTGCATTAGGTATTGAGCTAATGCAACGGAACATAGATACCGTGGCATTAGGTGTCATATACCGTGGCATTAGACCTACTGCAACGCCAGCAGATGCCACGGTACATGGCCGTTGCAATAGGCCTAATGCCATGGATTTTGACACCTAATGCAACGAAATTAGGGGTTGCAACAGGTCAAAAATATAGTAGTGTCATCAACTAACACTTTATGAACTTTGCTAGGATAATACGAGTATTTAAAAATCCGTGAGGGTTGAGGTACGCTTAGGGTATTTCTCCTTACCTTAAATATATATATATATATATATATATTATATATATATATATTATATATATATATATTATATATATATATATATTATATATATATATATATTATATATATTATTATATATTATATATATATATATTATATATATTATATATAGGGGAGGGATCCGGTGAGAATAGGTTCATATGTGAGAATTCATACTTATACGAGAACTGATTTTAAATTTAGAACATGTGTCTGAAATTAAAATTTAGAACATCTGAGTAATAATTTAGAACATCTATGTGAGTAATATGTTTAGAACATTTGATTTAAGAATTAGAACAAGTGATTAAAAATTTATAAAATCTGCTTTATGAAATTTTAAACATATGAGTAAACTTTAGAACATCTGACTTAGATTATGAACATGTGAATAAAATTTTTGAACAAACTGATATAGAATAAAGAAAGTGTGAGTAATACGAGTAAAAAAATAGAACATACGCTTTAAAATCTAGAACATATAAATAAAATTTAGTTATTCAAAATTTATGATATTAAACTTAACTAATTTATGGTTTAGAACATGTGAGTACTAAATTAGAACATTTGATTTAATTTAGAACACTTAAGGGAAAGTTTAGAATATCAGAATTAAAATTTAGAACATACGAGTAAAAATTTAGAACATAAAGAGTGTTCTCACATAAAAAAAAATTCTCACATAAGAAAAATTCACACGAGAGCCTCCCCCCCTATATATATATATATATATATATATAGCAACACCCTCAATCGGCATACGATTCAAGCATTGCAATAGATTAGAGCTTAAATGGTTACATTACATTAAAATATCTTTATCACCGATTTAAAAAAAAAAAGAATTATTAGATTTTTATAATTTGAATTACTTTAGATTATATTTCCAATTATCTTCTCTAATTCTCTATCATTTCCTCAAATATTGTATCAAGGATTAAAGGAGACATACTGCAAATAATATAAACATGGAAAGTATTAATTCTGGAACAGAATTATTGGAGTACTAAACCCCATAAATCAATCATTCTTAATTAAATCTTCCCAAACATCCAGACAAGCTCAATAAATATTTGCAACAATCATTTGATTGCCTATTATGCAAATATTTGTGGAATTTGCAAGTATGAAAGGATGAATTTAATTGAAACAATCAATTAGATATAAATATAAACAAAATTATATTATCTTTGGAACAAAAGGTATAGGCCCATAACAATTGTGAATATATTTGGGTATGACTAATCTTGGGGTAGTAAATAAAAAGTCCCAAATGGAAAGGGACAAGATGTTTTTCCATGTGCAATTTAATTAGGGCTAGAATAATAATCAATGAGAGAAGTTTAAAGAGCTATCACAATTCACAATAGACAAAGATTCCTTTGAAATAAGGCCCTTGTAAATTAATCGATGCTCCATATTGTGTATCATTTGTGGCCATGTCTTAATCAAAGTATCAACAACACATATCTTCTTAGGAATTATGCTAAATCTATGATGGTCATCCATCCCTTTCATGTAGTGACCCAAATGAAATTATTACAGCATATTTAGAATTTGTTAAGTGACACCTTAGAAAGGAATAAAAAAAAAAAAAAAATCAAATTTCACATAATATTTATTCTTAGTAACACCTATTTCGTCCATAAGGGGCAAAAATAGAATTAGCGAGGGTTTGCCCTTATTTATATTTTTATCTTTTGGGGGATTCTACAAAACTAAAAACACTTATAGGTCAACTAATCCAACTACACACATCAATGTTGTAAAGTAAAGGGGAAGGTAAGAAAATTACTTACTCCCAAGCAAGTATAAGCATATGGTGATCGATACTCGAATGAGGTCACAAGGTCGTGAGTTCGTTCTCCACCATCTCCAACAAGCATTCTTAATTAAGGATTTGTACTTATTCACGTCAATATTAATTGACAACCTTTAATTTAATACGTACAATACTAGAATACTCATATCATAAGGTCTTTAACCTTCAATACAAAGAGTTATTAATAATGAGCAATAAATCGTATTGCATGTCCCGAATTACACGCTCCATTTTCTATTAGGGGTGTCCTAACTAACTTGCCTCATTTGCATAAAATTTGTGCAAATGATCATGAGACTATTGAATTAGGAAATACTATGCGGGAAGCTTCAGCTTTGGTGTGACTTTAAACTTTTGAGTTCAAAAAATGTTTTTTTTTATTTTTATTTTTTAAAGGTGGTGTTTCAATAATAAAAACAAAATATTTGTTGCTCTATATTTGGCAGTACATGCCGTACGCGGCGGTGCACCTCCATTTTGTACTGTCTTCCACCGGCCAGATTGCCAAGGCTATCTTGATAACTTGCTATATTATCATTGGTTGATCTTCTATGTTGTCTTGTTCATCTCTTATAGGTGGTCTAGGACTCTAGGTGTGTCGAAGTTGTTGGTGAAATGGGGAACTTTTTTTATTTATTTATTGGAAGGTAGTATGTATGGTAGGGGTGGCAATTTGGGTCAGCAGGTCGGGTTCGGGTCAGATGTCGGGTCGATTTCGGGTTATGCTTAGAAACTATTAAAAATAGTGTAAAACTTAATATTATTACGAAATATGAAATTTGGGTCAAATCGGGTCGAATTCGGGTTGTTCGGGTTCGGTTCAGGTCGGGTTCGGGTTCGGGTCTCTCTCAGTAACTTCGGGTCGGGTTCGGGTTTTCGTGTCGGGTCAGGGTTTGTCAGCCCTAATGTATGGTACAAATATTAAGCTAATTATGGGT